TTCTTATAGCTATAGATAATATATTTATAAAATTTTAGAATTATTTGTTTGATTTAATTTTTTATAAATAGCAATTGCTTTTTAGGAGTTTGGGATTTGTTCAGGTTTGGGCGGCATGTATATACATAAATATTAATTTAATTAGTAAAATTAAAACTTTTCTATATAGCAACTATTTATAACTATATATAAAATTTTTAAAATACCTCTATTAAATCACTTTTTTAATATTAATTATAATTTGTGCTTATATAGAGATACCTTTATATAGTCACACCTCTTTATAATCACCACATTAAGGTGTGCCCAACTGTGTGATTATATAGAGAGATAACTGTATATAATTAATATAATATATAAATATAATAAAAATATTTTGCCAAATTGAAAAATCTTGTAAAGTATTCGAAGCAATCCAAGTAGTGTCATCTATGTAGCTATAACCAATATATTGAAGTAGTATGTGGAGTTTTTTGATGTTGTTGTACTTATTTTGTAGCCTGGTTCTTCTGTTAAGATTCTATGGATGAGGAAATCATAATAAATTTGCCAAAGTAGATATGAGAGCACTTCTTTTTGGTCTATTTCATCTTTATTGCAATAATAGTTAGTTTTTCTAATTGTCGTAATTACTTAATTTTTTGGTCTGAAAATAAGTTGATTATAGTGTTAATGAGTTTGTTAGATAGGTTGATTCTTTTAAGTGTTAGACATAGAAGAGGAATATATACAGTATTATAAGCTTTGGACATGTTCTGTGACATGATCCAAAGTTTTTTCTTGTTTAGAATTGAGTCTTCTTGGATTTGAGTAAGTTGTTGAATTGAAGCTAATGTTGGTGTAAATGAAAAAGTGACATGTGTAAGAATTTGGTTTAGCTGATTAGTAATTAATTTTGTAAATATTTTCCTTGATGTTTGATAAGTGTAATTAGTCTGGTTCTGTTTAGATTACCCTTATTGTATACAGATTTTGCTATGAGCCAAACTAGGCTGTGTTTCTAGCTTTTAGGAGTATTATTTAGTTTTAGACAGCTATTTAATATATAAGTTAAATGTTCTATAGCTATAAATGATACTTTTTTGAGCATCTCATTTAAGATTAGAGAGGGGCTAGTAGCATTGTAAGTTGGTAGCTTAGTAATTGCTTTTGTGATTTTATCTTGAGTTATTGGTTCAAGAAAATTATCAAAGACTCTAGGTGGGTGTTTATCTTTTTATAATATTTTTTTTATTGTGGCTATTCTGTTATGTTGCTTGGGTTATGCTTTGTCCAGCATTGGAAATGCTCCTTAACGGCTGTTTTAATTACATGTGGCTCAGTATAAACAAAGGTTGGTATAATTATATTGTAATAGGTAACCTGTTCTTTTGTGCACTTTAGTATACTATTTATTATTGTAGTGGTGTTGTCAGTAAAGTTTGTACATCTTTGGTTGATGAAATAGTTGATCTTTTTTTTCTTCTCTAAATTATTTTCAGTTGAGTATGCTGTGAATATTATTTGGTTTAACTATATTAGTGTGGAGTTGTAAGTTGTTGGATAGAAATAAGTTGCTAGAATTTCAAGTGTGGTGATGTTAGAGAGCTTGGTTGTAATACTAAGCTCCTTGTTTATTTTCTCTAGTAGTGTATCAGGTGTAGTAGATAGGTGAATTGAGGTAAAAATTTGTATTGCTTTGTTTATTGCTTTTAAACTGCAATGAAGTTGTGTTACTTTAAAGGAGTGTGCATGAAATATTTTAGGTGCAGCATAGGAGAATAATATGTTGCTATCAGCTACCTGTTTAATAATGCTTTGCCATATATTTGTGGCTCTGTTAAGTAATTTTAGATCTGTAATTATTAAGGTTGATAGTAAAGAGGAGCCAATATTATCTCTGATTTGTTTAGTAAATTTTTGTTTACTCTTTTTTAGATGTTTTACTGTAAAGAAAGGTTTTCTTTTTGTGTCTCTTTGTCCATTGGGGGATAATTTCCCATGGGGTGTGCCATGTAGTCGTCATGATCTTGTGGTCACTATTTGTTGTTGTGATAGTATGGTGGAGCTGTGAAATTTTGAAGTTTAAAGCTATTTCTGGATTGATCTATATATCATCAATTTAACTTGACTGCTGGTTACATTGCCAGATAAATTTGGTGATATTGTGAAAATCCATTAAGCTAATAAATTTAGTTGAAGCTGGGTGGCTTAGAAGCAGAGTGTTGTAAGAATTTGAATGATTCAGGTTGTTGTTGAAGTTATCTATAACTATTATATATGTTTGGTTTGATCTAGCTTGTATCACTAACTTGATTGCTTGCTGTTAAGCTTTATTTGCTGCTGTGAATGTTTGAGAAGGTAAGTAGATTGCAATAAGTTTGTTTTTGTGAGAGAAGTGGAAGTCTATTTTCAGAAGTAGGCCTGGGATTACATATATGTCATGAATATAGAACTGGAGGTAGAGGGTTAAAGTGATTGCTACCCCCAAGCTTGATTCTTGATTTGTTTATTTCTTTATCACAACCTGGTTATCTTCCTAATCAAGATTTCCAATATTATCTTAGAGGTTGTTAATGCTATCTGTGCTTTTATATAATAGAACCTTTTGTAACAACTGCTATTATATATAATGCCAACTTCTTTACAATAAACCTCCTTTTAAAAATTTATATTTCAAACTTGTACTTCCTATAGTAAATATATTTAAATATTTATAGAAACTGTATCTACTAAAGCTTGAACTTGAAACCCCAACTCTGTTATATTCAATAAAGCATTATTTAATATATAATTGATTATAAATAATTAATAACAAGAGCATGCCTTTTGGTTTAAAGGCATGCTTTGTGCATGCCTAGAAAAGCATGCCTTTATAAGTATGCTCTGGGTTACTATACCTTTATTTTATATTTAACAAACACAAAATACAGTATACCCTGTCAAAGCCAATAACTTTTCATAACTGATAAAAAGTTGATCCACCATATCGGTTCCATAATTCAAATCCGATAACCTGCCATTTCTGATAACCGATACCCAAACCATCAGATATCTATAAGATATCGGGTTTGTAAGGAAAATTAATTAATTTAATTGGCTCAAATCTGATTTTGTGTAACTGAATATATATGTATAAATGTAATTTGGCCAATTATATTTAGCTATGATCATGTGTCCATTAGGCTATTAGTATCTTAAATCCGATAACCTCTCAAAGCTGATACAAAAGCCGTCCACCATGCACGTCGGTTTTGACAGGGTATACTGTATATATATTTGCTAATCTTATAAACCTTTTAACTATATCTACAAACATGATAAAACAAATTAACCCCACTATTTTTGAAATTATTACCAAAGATACAATAATACAATAAACCAATCAGTTAAGTTATACAAAAATCCACACAATTTCTGCTGCTATCTACAACACAAACTCATAAAAAACATATACCAAAAAATCTAGATACCAAGATGTGCCAAAATTCCACACAAACCCAAAACACCAAAATACCAAAATACCAAAACCAGCTCTAACACAAGCACAAGCTCTTTCAACAAGCCCACAACATGCCAAACAAATCAAAATAATACTCAAACACTCGTGAAGGCAAGCTAAACAGATGATCCACACATTTCTACAAATTTAACACATCCCCCTTCACATAGACAACATAAGTATCACAGACTAAGCGAGGTTTCCCGACCTTACTTAGGTTGCAGGTAACCTAGCCTGAGTCTTAGTTTCCCCAACATAATATGTAACTATATGTAATAATTGATGTAATATATTAAAAGTTTAATAAAGAAACTGAGGCAAGACCTCGTTTTTTTTTTAAAAAAAAAAATAGTAAATTTTACTATTATTAATTCAAGTAGTTTTTATAATATCGAAAAACTTTAGAAGTTTTATAAATTCACAGGCAAGTTATAATAATCTTGTAATAATGATTACTACGTGGCTTCAAACAAGGCTTCAATATTCAACAAAACTTCAACTTCCAACTGCAAAAACTTAAAAAAGCATCAAGATATTAAAAAAAATTCTATTTTTTTTTTTCTTAAAAAATTTTTTTCATTTGCTTAAATTTCTTCTTGATTAAAAGAAAGATTTGAATACTGAAGATCGGAGCCATGATCATAGCTTCACGGTTTCTGAAATAAGATTTTGACTTATCGCATGATCATTAATTTTAGTATATAAATTTAAAAAATATAAATTTACACTATATATGATTCATGTAACACAAAATTTAAATATTAGATTAAGGTTTAATGTTTGGGCAGTTATACTAAATTTTGCAAGAAATCATTTTTGTTAGAATCTCAAAGTTAAGAAAAAATTCCAATTACTATAAATATAAACGCTTTGTGCACTAGTATGAATTTATTATAAAAAATAATTTTGTAAATGATTCATAGCGAGATTATCAAATTCAACATATTTCTAAAGGCATTCACAAATTTACCCTACACGAGATGTCGGTAATGAAGTTTTTCTAATTTCAAATCTACGAAGGTTTAGAATCACATGATAAACCTGAATAGAACATATAAGAACACGAATTATTAATAAAAACGTCATATTGCGTCATGGATAATGATAATAATAGTATATATGTAAAAATGATGGGGAAAAAATAGCTTTTTTCTCACTTTTTCCGATTTATTCTGGTGTTCAAAAAATATTTATCTTTAATCGAAGGAACGCGTACTTTTTTATTTTAAAATTTTGAAGACATTGATTTATTCATTCAATCTATCCAATTATATTATTATGTCGTCAGTTTTATCCGATTTACAAAATTTTGATGAAAAGAATTCAGAAACGGATTGTGGTTTGCTATCAAGTAGTTTTATAGCCTTTATTTGGTTAAGAGTTTATTTAATAATTTATCATCAATTCTAATAGATTCCACTGCTAGTAGTCCGGTTCTTAGCAGTCCAAGTGCCGAAGAATTGAGCCTAACACAACCAACCTGTTCTTTAGTTGCAAAAAATTCGTTTATTTTACATCCCCATGGATACACAGCAGCACCTTTGTTAAGTCACATCATTCCTGATCAAGTACAATTGACATCGTTACATATATCACCCATGTCACAATCGAAACCTACATCGCCGATATGCAAACAATCTAACCAATATGAATCACGAGAAATATTACCAAAAATCGAAACGAAACCTAAAGAAATGTCTCAAGAATACATCCAATACGAACGCGAACGTAGACGCAATTACGCAAGATTATTACGAGAGAAAAAACGAGCCAGGGTAAAAGAGCTTGAAGATAGAGCTGCTTTTCTCGAAAAGGAAAATAAACGTCTTCGCAAAAATCTTGAGATATATCATGCTAGATTGGCTTATGCGGGTATCTTCTTGACACAATCTAATTCTGATATACCACTTGGTAACGTGAATAAATGTAGCTCAATGAACAATTTTGTTCCTTGTGTGAGTACAACACCTGATTTTAATTTCCTGCCACTGGAAAATCAGATTACTCCTGAGGAAATACTAAATATGCCAATGGGTTTTAATGATCCCAGTGGAGGTAGCTCTGTGCCTACATCTACGAATTTAATTAATGCGGAGGATAAAGATCATGATCTTGTTGACTATTCTTTTGGGCGTCAATGAGTCAACAACTTGAAATAATTTTTCCTTTTAAGCCAGTTTTAAATTCATGATAACAGCTATTATGAAATTATATTTGCTTATAAATTCATCAAAGTTTTATTTGCTAAATAATTAAATAATGGACTTCATTTATGAATATTATTTTTATATATAACTCGATTAAATTTTCATTTGCATGTAATGCCATATATTATCACGATATATATATTCGATTTCCTATAATATTAACTGTTATTATCATAAACTACATACAACATAGCATTATTTGTATAATAATTTTATTAGCAATGTTAATTTTAAATTTCGCCATAAATGTCAGTATCCAAATTCACAAATGTATTCTCTAAGATGTCTAAATCATATGCAATGCATTCTAGACCATGTAAGGTTCATTTTTCTTAGTAATAAACAATAAAAAAAAAAAAAAGGATGACAACAGACAACTAAATCCGTAATTAAATGTTCTAGGTTACAAAATAATCCAAACCGTAATATTACAAATTCGTAATTGACGATTGTATATAAACCAGATAAAATTAATTCAATGCTTTCGAACAATTCTGAAATTGTCAAATTCCACCATTTACAGTACGTATCAAACTCATAAATTTAAAATAAAATTTAAACGTAATGTACAATACGCACTCGATCAACCAATTGTTCACTTATTGTAAATTTTTATACGGATTAAATTATAGTACTATTACTATTATTCACATTGACTCTTTTTAATCTCTTATTAGGACGCGGATAAACTTTCGAATTATACCATGATAAGTCATTAGGTGAACTAGTAAGGTCATCATCTTCGCCCAATCCTTCAATCATTTTCCAAGGATCTATTTTGTGTTTCTTTTCGCCTTCCCCTATTGTTTCTTGAACGAAAATAAGAGGAAGTACACGTTTTATCCTGTTACTCCATATGGCTGGGATAATATTGTCAATTTTGTGGTTCTATTCGTAAATATACATTTAAATTGATAAAGTTATGAAGCTTAAATAATTTAAATTCAAGTAATCAAATGGTTAAACTTACTAGCTATAAAAATCAAAATCAATTGAATTATTAAAATAAGTAATTAAATGAGTAATTGAGTAATTAAATGAGCAATTAGTTGATGATAATCAAGCTACCTTTAATTCTGCTACAATGACAGCGCGCGCGTTTTTTCCCATCTCTACGGATTAATAAAATCAATTAAATTTAAATTAATCATATGAGTTTATTTACAAAGCCAATAAAATAAGCACTATACCATCTAGCAAGAACGATACAAGATCTAGTATTAGATCAAAATGTGCAAAACCACCACCATTCTGATGAATACGCGGATCACATAATAAATTCACCAATGTCACAAACAATTTCTCTATTAGAGCATATTCCGGAATTTGGCGCACGATCGCCGGATTAGTTTGCGTAATAACCTCTGTTACGCGACTTGTCAATACATGCGCTCCAAGAACCAGTAATTTGACACGAGAAATTATGCTGAAAAAATCCGTATAAGAACTCTTATATTAACAATGACAGTATTAAATTTTAAGCCGTATCTCACCTAGACACATAAACATTGTCATGACTTTCAAATCCAAATTTTATAGAACTGGAGTCATAGGGAAAATCATCTTGGATTTTCTTAATTTGACTTAACAAGGCATCACAAAAGTTTATCTTCTTATCGACGCTAAGTGTAAGCAACAGTGATCTAAAGATTTCTTCTATGTCAGAAATCAATTCTGTACATTTTTTTAATATACAAAGCCCTTTCTCAAATAACTTTTGTCCATTTTTTTAAAAAATAAAAAGAAAAAAAAATTAAAAATGAAAAATATATTTGAGAGCATCATGAATTATAGGATTAAAATATTAATCTAATTAACCACTATGTTAGTTGGCTAATTAGTCGACTATATCACAGTAATGATTCTAATCCTTAGCGCGAATATGCATACATACCTCAATACTAACATCCTCCATTATCCCTTTAATCATGTTACTCAAAAAGCCACAATCGATTTCCCCTTTTAATATCAATTCTTCCCAGAGCCAATCAATGACTGCGTTTTTTAAACTCTCATTTTTTGGGAACTCGCCAAAGTTGGCTATTATGTCATCTTCATCTTTAATCGTGGACGTTGATGACGAACGAGGGATAGTAGAATCAATTAACATAATTTGATCCATACATAACCAAAATTCTATCCGATTTTTCTGTATATTCCATAAACTTATTTGAGAGAGAATAGTCCTCAGATATTTAATATAAACGGAAGCCGTTTGAGAAGATTTTGCAACATCTATATAAAGGGATTAATACAAAATAACAATAATAAAAGAATTAATATATAATGACTCGAATGAAACCTGCCTAGAATATCCACACCGTCGCCGAGTGCTGTTTGGACAATATTAAGAATCCGCTTTTCTACTTCCTTATTGCTCAATAACCTCTTTCCCTTAACAAACCGGTCGTAAACGGTTTCACTGTTAATTACGCATAATTGTCTGAACCACTCAATCTTAGAAAAATCGATTCTTAATTGTATGAGAACATCTATAAGTTGGTCTTTAGAGTCGATCAAACATTCGATAATGGCAAGTTTTTGGAAAATGGTAGAGGCAATTACAATAAAATCGTTATGGTGGGATAACGTTTCGCAATGAGACTTTAGTACTTGAATTTCCTGATAACGTGACAGATTCTCATGAATATATTATTATTATATTTACGTATTTAAATAAAGGGTAAATAACGAACCGTCGTGCACAACGGCAATTGGATAGAAAGGTTGTCACCATCTTGTAGAAGTAATAGCCTCAATAGTTTCACCAAATTCTTGCATTCGATAACTTCCTTTGGATCCATTTGTCTTTGATTCGACAATTTTTCCACTAATATCTTTAGGTTTTTATCGCAGAGATGCTCTATTATTATTTTCATGCAAACCAAATGTCGAACAACGAGCATCACGAAAAAATATAGTAAAAGAATATTTTCATTCCCGAAAATATTATCCTCATCTACATGAGAGAGGCATTTAATCCACTTTTCGAAAACGAAATCAAGCTCATCTGTCGTTCTATCACAAATATCTACGAGCAGATCACCAAAAATCCCAATAACAATCCTACCCTCCGTGTAATTTTCATCTGCATAATTATGAGAATACTGAATTATAATGTTTATGTATGATTCAAAAATTTTATATATTCCATCGCCATCTGACTGAAACAAACGTGACTCTATGTTCGAAGCTCTGACACGACTTAGGAATTGTTTCATGCTATTATATCCTTCAAAACGGGTATAATGATGTGATACTGCCTGTGATAATTGTGACTAAATATATATATATCATTCAGTTACTTGCAAATGACAACAAAACGGCAAAAAAATCTACAGACCTTCATTTGTGATTGCAGGTCTTGCTCCAACTATTAAACAAAAATTAATATGCGAAAATAATAACAAAAAAAGCATACTATTTGAAAGATACAAACCTTTCCTTTTTTAGCATTCACATAGTCATGTGTAAAATTTATTAAGTATTTCACTATGCATGTTTCTGTCTGTCTCATGTCACGCAATTGGTCGTTCTATTGTTCGTAAAAACAGAGAATTTTTAATTAAAATTTAGAAAATAACAAATATTTGATCACTATTACCTTTTTCATAAGCGCATCAAGCACTTGTTCCGATTTACCCATAGCATCCCAGACGACTTCGTGCCGTTTTAATGTATCAATGATCGATTGAAATAGACATTTTTCCGTCGAGTTTTCAAGAACCCATAGCAGAAGCTACAATAAAATAACATATATATTATAGACGACACGAATTGTTATATAAAATGAATTTTTATCAAGGCATAACTTACATCCAGTAATGAGTTATAATCTTTTGCTAGTTCAATGACTTTGACTATTGTTGAAAGTTGACGCGCATTTAGTAATGATGACCCAGGTTGAGTCGGATTATGCCAATTATGTGGACCAATACTACAAAAAATATGCAAATTAAATGCGTCGTATCAGAAGTATTTGTGCAGGATATTTAAGACTAAAATTATGATACTTGTACCACATTCAAATTTTGAAAATCTGAATTCTGAGCTATAAATCCTCCATATGTGGGAGAGTCAGTGAAAAGGAACAACTCATTTAAGGTAACTTTTTTTAAAAAATTAAATTGAAGTATCTTAACCAAATTAATAAAAATTTATTTATTTATTTATTTATTTTAATTCTATAACTATATAGAATTAAAACAAAAAAATTTGGTTAAGCAGTTGTTAAAATATTTTAGCTTAAAAGTTCAAAAAACTTAGAAAATTGTCCCTTTACTACTGACTCCCCCATATATATATATATTCCATAAAAAGCTATCCTTTGTATGAATCATGCATCCATTTTATCTTTTAGGTGTCTTTAAGCGCCGTGTATTGTATATAAATTTATTTAATTGACTTTAATACTCACGGGGTATTTTGTACAAATGTTTTCACTTGCGGGAGAAGCCACGTTTGTATTACTTTTATTTGGCAAAATTTCGTTACATTTTGCATAAATTCCGTTGTCTCACTATGGAAATTTAGTGCCAAATGCATATCAGAGACCGGATTATCTACCGTTGGACTATCTAGCTTCTCTAATACAATATAATACAAATAATTGGTTACGAATAATTAAGCAGTCATAATAATAGAACCACAAATACTACACAACCTGTTCTCGAAAACAAATATGGAAGTTTATCTTTTATCATCATGACCATAGATTCATATTCCTTTTCATCGCTAGTATCCTATCCAATCATAGGACAATTTTTTAAGTATATGCACATTACAGTAAAAACAGAACACAAACCGACCATAACATACATCGCAATTAACGTTATATAAAATGACCCGTCTCTGATTTAAATGATGGAGCTCCGTATTAAAGAGGGGGAAACATTTTACATATTTCAAATGTCTTTTCGACTTCTATAATAAATTTATTGACAATTAACATATAAAAGCAAAAATCGATTAAACATATAAAGATATTTAATTCAAATACCTCTGTTACCCTTCTCTCATGTAGCACGTCCCCCCTTGCGACCAAACGTTGCAAATAACGTTGATGAGAGAAATGCCCATTGCGGATAAGTTCACCAAATAGTCCTGCAACTACATTGCATTCTAAAATATCATTCCAGATAAAAATAACAACAAAATGTCAATATAAATATAATCTTCCCATTTTATAGACATGAAACATGAAAATGCCTACCGTCTTCTTCGCATATGCCATTACAACCAAGAGGATAAATATCCAAAAAATCCATTAAAGAGTTTTGAATTGTAGTCTGACGTTGCAGCCTTTCCTCTGCATTTGTCACAGAGCTCTTCCATATATCGAGTATAGTACTTACAGAGTAAACACGATAATCTCCAGCACGATATTTAGTCACAGCCCAATAGCACAACCAGTAAATATGTGTTGATACTTCTCTTTCTAGCATTGGAAATTTACTATCTATACGGAAGTATTCAGCTGCAATTTTTTGGTAGTCAGTATGGAAACCAACTTTATCTAGAATCTAATAAAATAAAAGTATTATTAACCTTCGTGACACAATTGATCATTATTCGTACTTTACTAATGTCAATACACCTACCTCAATTATCCGAGATTGTTGCAACTCTTGTGCATTCCTCTTCCCTATCATATCAGGTTTTTCTTTATCAAATACCTCATTTCTAGCACGTATCAATTCGTAATATCTTTCCATTTGCCGTTTCGTATTCTTTGGTATAACAGTATCGGTTTTCAATGAATTGTCTTCAACAAAAACACATCTTAGGAGGTCTTTGTATGTGTTCCAACAAACAGGAAACACAAACATATCAGGAGTGGCTAAGAAGAGTGTCTATAGCAACAAATAATTATATATTTATATTTAATGCATATACACATTAGGTTAACGAATACAATTGTGATAAAATATAAATATTCATACATGTAGCATATTCTTCAACATCTTGACGACAATATCGAGCTTTGGGTTTTGGCGTATCTAAGGTGTTACCAGCAATTGTAATTACTTCACATTCACAGACAATGTCTGAAACAAGAAAACAAACAGCTTACATCTTGTAATTTCTTTAAGATAATCTCTATCAACAACCTCATCAACGTTCGAGAACGTTGGAATTCCTCCAAAAATTGTTGAACAAACCATAACCAAATAACAGTGTTTAAATGATCTGCTTGATCTAGATTTTCGAGCGTCGATCTAAGAATCCGTTGATCAAGCAATCCATCATCAAACTGCCATTTGGCTAGTAATATACTAAATACGAAAACAAAGCATGGTATATTTATTAACAAATTCAACAATAAATAGCATTTATTAGTCAATTAATTCACATGCCTATATCTCCACTTATCGGGATCATATTCACGACTCTGGTTTTTGATGAAGGTGTGAAATGTCGAATTCCAATTTTTTGTGTATTCTTGCGTAGCATTATGTGACGTTTCTTGATGCTAGTGTAAGTAGCAAACATTGTTCAATTGCTATATATAAGTAAAAATTGGGGATAGAAATGATCCTTGAATATATAACCTACCCCCGTTCTTGAATTAATCAAATTAATCCCTACTATTTTGGTAAACCAAGTAGCCCGTGCGAGAGGTACTCTATGTTGAGTAACAAGTTCTAGTAGATGAGTACCTTCGACACTGTAAATGCCATGACTAAATTAAATTAGTGTTATAGACGACACAAGTATCTATGACGTGCATGCTATAAAATATCATACACTCTCGGAACATTCTCTGCCAATTCTTTAAGCGGACTATTACCGGCCAGTCGCCTTAACCATTCATCTCTATCTTCGACAGGCACCCATACTATTTGTGGCACGGTGTATGGAGAAGATCTATGCCGCACGAAAAAATGTTATTAGCATTATGTAGAAACAAACTACAGTCAAACCCCTGAATATATTCTTTAGGAACCAAACTTTTAACAACATGCATTTAGAGATCAGTAAGAAAAAATGTATTTATAGAGGTCAAATATATATTCGGGTCAGAATTTGAGAGTGCATTTAGAGATCGTGCATTAAAGAGGGTGCACTTAGAGAGGCTTCTCTGTACTATAAAAGTGCTTACTCTTCAAAAGTGTTAATCTCATGTTTACGTTTCATTATGTCAGTCATGAACTCGCCGAGATTTCCAAGACCTTTTGGATCTCTTATCTCATCCAGAATCATATCCTGTGCTGAGAAAGACTCTGCATCTACAAAGAGTGCGCCAGAAAAACCTTGCTGTACATGCTGCTCTGTCATTAAGTCTTCATCTTGACCAGGCTTTGGAGGATAGAAATCGGGATATCCTACAAAATTGGTGCGATTGATAATAATTGTCTGTTTTAATAATTTGAATCAAGTTTAGAATTATAGGTATCAGTTCTCCTACGAAACAGCTACTGCAAAGTTAGAATTTAGAACTTCTACAGTAGCTTTTATGACTAGACATTTTGTATTAGATTCTTGATATCTATAACCTACCAAGCTCGACACTTGTTTTGTGTAAAGCGGACAAGTTTTTTGGGGGTTGAAGTTTATACGGCGACAAGTTTTGTGCCATATTTTATAAGAAAAAGTGCGAATCTAACAAGGATATTCGAAGACTTTCGGTATATATATATATTCTTTGGTAGTGTGCTAAACTCGCGTTTATATATATATTCTTTGGTAGTGTGCTAAACTCGCGTTTATATCAAAAGACTGAAGTGCATACTTAATGCTCTTGATAGAAAATAAATTTTTTCATGGATGTTAATCATTTTACCGCCAAGTCATTATGGACAGTACTCACGTGACATACAGTCTACCCGAATTAGGGCATAATATGCGCATAAACCGCGAATAGACAATCAGTAAACCTAAATCACGAGTGTGTTCCTCAGAAGGATACGGAGTTAAAGTCAGTTTTTTAAAGTAAATTCGCAGAACTTATGGCGTAGTTTTAAAAGTCGCAGAATTTACAGTATAAATAAGAAAATTATTCGTATAAACAGGCTTGTGAAGCAGGCAGAATTTGGCAGCAGAAAATCGGTGACCCTGACCCGGATTTAAAAACTGGTCGTTACATGAAATTGTTACACGATTAAAATATTTCTTTATACCGATACCGATACCGTTTTATTATTCTTTCTATTATAAATAAATATAATCACACTAAGCTTGGCTGTAAAATAACATATGGCTGTCGTCAATAGAAATAAGGCAGATGGACATTCTAAAAAAATAACAATATCTCGATGAATTTTGAGTATTTAATAGTCAAAAGAAAGCTAACTCTTATAAATATTACATCATTAAAATAGCTTCAAAATTCACTATGATCTGTGAAAATTAAGGTATTGATTTTTTTAGAATGTCAATCTGCCATATTTCTATTGATGGCAGCCCATATCTTGGGTACACACAGTCATTGGCAAAAGTAGCACCCAATTTTTTTATTAAACAAATTTGCAATGAAATACATGATTTTTTTCATATTTACAATATATACATTATAAATTTTTTTTTTTTGCCTAATCAATATTTGGAATGCCCACCCTTTTCTTCAAATACCACTTTGATCCTTCTTGGAACTGAGTCTACAGACTCCAAAAAAACTGACTTTTCTAATTTCAACCACTCTTCTATTAGGGCAATTTTGAGATCATCTACTTTTCTTGAAAACTCTTCTTGGCTTTGAATATTATCTTTCAAAACCTTTCAAATGTTTTTGATCGGATTTAGATTGGGAGATTTTGCAGGCCAGTTCAATTTAGGGATTTTTTTTTTTAAGCCAATCAGTTACTTTATATATCAGCTCATTATTTTGTTGAAAGATTATTTTTGCACCTACTAATGAACAAGATGCTTTAGCTCTTTTATAAAATGATATTAAATAGTCCTCCAGAACCTTAGTATATATTTTTTTATTGATTTTTTGTTTTGACTCTTTATACTTATGAGAGGGCCCTTGATTTTGTCAACAAAACAACTACACACTATTACTAAACATCTACTACTCTTAAAATTTAGAGTTAAGCACTCATTTTTATGCCTTTCATCTTCAAGACACCATACTCTAATTTGGCAGGATTGTTTACTAATTTCAACAGACATTTCATCAGAAAATATTATGTGCTGCCAATCATAGGCAGTGATAATAAATAACCTGAAATGATCCAAATAACTCAAATGACAAATGACTAGTTATTGGGTTATTTCAAGACCCAAATGATTTAAAAGATCATTTAACATATGTTAATTGATATTCTATTGTCATTTAGCCAATCAGAATTTGTTGTCAAACAAAATTAAATATTAAAGTCAAAAATTTTACTATATCAATTAATATTTATATCTTAAATAAAGTTGTTCAAGATAATAAATTACATATATTCTGAAATTTTCATATAAACTAAAGAACTTTTATTTTTTTTAATCATTTGGCAGTCTTGCCACTACTTTATTAAGCTTATAATATTCTACAATATAATATTAAAATTTTTCGAAGAGCTAAGCTTTTCGATACCTAAGATTACAAGTACTAACTCACCTGGTTATTCATTGAATACCTATATGCGACCTGCTATAGTAAGATTTTACCTCCATACTGGCTCTCTGCTATTGGGTTTACCAATACTTTACTAGATAGTTCTTATGGTCTGCCAAGACTACTAATTTGTTTTCCACCACTCTGCCCGTATACCACTTTTAATCCAACTTAAAGTCTTTTCTTTAGCGATTTTTAGTGTGTTTTTCCATCTTTTTTTTGTATCTTTGTGGGCCGAATTAGATACAAGAATCACCTCGTTGTCTACTTTTTTCCTTTTTCCCTTCTTTTCCTTTCAGGTGGGTCCTTTTTTTTTTCTTACATGTTATGCCATTTTCTTTCTCCCAATCTTGTACCAAATTGCATCTTGCGATCCATATTCTTTCATAAATGCTCTGCATCCAATTTCTTCATAACTTTACTATGAAAGATACTGCTTGTTTATTGGAAGTAAAGGGTGGACTTAACTCATTAAAATCTTCTTTTGTAATTAGGCCTCTTATCTATCTTTCTTTTCTGCATTTTTCTTCTGCTAGGCTACCTTTTCCCAGCATTGCAAGGATCCATTCTTTCTTTTCAGAGAGATCTTTGGTTTTTTTTGCCTCGCTCAAGGTCAATTCAACTGCATCTTTCTCAATTTCTCTTAGTAGACCTAGTGATACTTCACAACTAACCAAATGTTCTACATTTTCTATTTCTTTTTTGCACACAACACATAGCTTGGATTTATATATATTAGGTTTTCTCTGGTTGAGTTTTTCTATTACTAGTAACATGTTGTTTATGCATTTTAATTCGAATAACTGCATCGTGTTTGATCTAAATGTGTAATTCTGCTGCTTGATACTACTATTTAGAATCTTGTAGAAGATCAGCCAAGACTGTAAAGTTTTTCTTTCTTGATGAGTCTTATTCTAAGTACTATGTAGAAATGTCCACTCTACTCTGTTTATCACTCTTTCTATCATTTCGATGAAGGAGTATAAGGGTTTTTGAACTATCTTATTCTCCCACTTATATTTCAGCTTAAACTCTGTTGTACTAAGTGCTATGGGAGTCAGCTCTTCTGTGGAGTTCACACCCTCTTTGGCTTTAAAGTCTGCCAGGTCATTATAAAAATCTCCTGAATGTCCTTTAATTTTTATAAACTATACTTCTAGTTGCTTTGTTTTGATTATCTTTACTATAGATGCTACTAAGCCACTATTTTTGATTTTTAACCATTGTCTAACTTTTTCTGTTTTTAGTTCTTTCTTAATTAATAATATTGCAGCACTACTATCAGTTCTTATCTCAGCTTTTTTTTCTCTCAGTGTTACAAGTAGAGCAACTAATATTGTGACTAACTCTGCCCTAGTAGAAGAAAACCAATTCTTAGTTGCAAGTGCTATTTGGTGTATAATTTGATCTTCTTCTGAGACTTGTATCACTACGCACCCCATTTGTTTCTCTGCTGTACTTTCTGATGATCCGAGTGAGCCATCTGTATAAAAAAATAGACTATTTATATCTTTGTTTCTATCTAAATTTTCTATTAATTTTTCTCTAACTAACGTATCTTTTACTATTTTTTCTATTATACAAATTTCCCAACTCTTACAGCCTACTTTTACTCTCTCTTTTTTTTTAAGATCTTGCACTTCTTTTGCTGATACTATAACCTTCTCTAAGTCTTTTTTAACTATATTTTCTAGCGATTGTATTTCAAAAATCATTGAGGGGCCATGTTCAGACTTTTGTATCCCTTAAATTGTTTTGCAGCCAAATTTGCCTGCAAACTTTTTTTAAATTTTAAAATTTTTTAATAAAATTTTAAATATTGATTTTAGCTATATCTTTTCTAAGTAAAATATTTAA